AGATTTGAGAACCAAAATAAGCTATCAAAGGCTAGCAGACGGAACAAGCAACTTAATGCCCTCCGGGGTTGGTTTGTTTAGCTGCAGTCAAAATTATCAAAAATCAGGTGCAAAGGTTATATTATGCAATCCCCCTTACATATGCCTAGAATTTCAGGAGGAATGTATATGACAGTGGCCCCCATAGTTAATCAAATCCATGTTTTCCCATCACTTCTGACACAGTTTTCCTTTCCAGACAGAATCTATTAAGGAAGAAATTTTATAACTGTCTTTGGGTAGGCAGTTCTAGGAGGTGTCCTTTGAAAGTTCTTAAGACAGGATAAAAATATGTAAAGTATGTTCAACAACTATTTCTCAGGCTAGACCAGCAGGGCTCCAACCTGGCATATGTTAAATTGAAGTTCCATCACCTCCAGCCATCATGCCCAGGGTACACATATTTATTGAGAATGGAACCTAGTTAATTCAGCATGATTTATTTCATTTCTATTAATTCTTTCCTCCAGGAATGACTTAAAAAAAAAAAAAAGGAGGTCCTAGATTAATGTCACATCACCGCATTTCAGTTACTTGGCAATCGACTTGCATTTATGACTGGTTGCCAAGCACCCCATGAACATGTGATTGCCATTTGCAATCTTCTCTGAAGCCAGCAGAGAAGGTTGCAAGTGGAGGGGACATGGCAGTGTGATTTGAGCTCCGTTCCTCTAGCCCCACCAAGGATTTCCCCTCCGTTCATGGAGGGGAGGGGAAACCCCTCAGCAGTAGGAAGGGGAGCTGAAATCTTCAGGATTTGAGCGCTGTTCCTACACACTGCCGTTCAACGTTGGGTTTCCCCTCCCACTCAGCTGTGTGATGGAATGGAGCTGAAATCTTCAGGATTTGAGCTCTGTTCCTACACACTGCCGTTCAACGTTGGGTTGCCCCTCCCACTCAGCTGTGTGATGGAATGGAGCTGAAATCTTCAGGATTTGAGCTCTGTTCCTACACACTGCCGTTCAACGTTGGGTT